GTATTTCATCTTTGAGAACCTTGTTTAGTTCCATGCTCCAGTTTTTAATTAGATTGCTTGTTTTCTTGCTGTTTAAGTTTTTGAGATCTTTGCGTATTTTTAGATACTAACTTTGTCAGATGTATAGCTGATAGTTTCCCTCTTTCTACAATAAGCTGCTGCTTCACTTGAGTGATGGTGTCCCTTCTGTACAGAACCTTTTTAGTTTCATGAGTTTCCATTTATTAACTGTTCTTAATGCCTGCGTGGCCAAGTCATTTTCAGAAAGTTTGTTTTTTTTCTGTGCTTATAAGTTGCACTTTCTATATTCTCTCCTCTATCAGGTTTGGTGTATCAGATCTTCAATTGAAGTCTTTGATCCATTTGGAGTTGAATTTTGTGCAAGGTGAGGCCATCACCATGCTATTTTTTATTATCATGGCTCTAGAATGTAACTTGAAATCAAGGATGGTGATACCTCCAGCAGTATTTTTATTGCTTGGGATTGTTTTGGCTACTCTGGGTCTTTTGTGTTTCCATGTGAATTTTGAAATTATTTTTTCAATTTCTGTGAAGAATTGTATTGGAATTTTGATGGGGAGTGAATTGAATCTGTAAATTGCTTTTGGCAGGATGGTCTTCCTTGAGCATGAAAGGTCTTTCCATCTTCTGATGTCTTCTCCAATGTCTTAAATACAAGTCTTTCATTCCAATGATTAGATTTCTTTCCAAGAAAGAAATCCTTATTTCTTTTTAGTGTGTTTCTCATTTATATATAGGAAAGTAACATTTTTGGTGTTAATTTTGAATCCTGCTACTTTGTTGAAGATATTCATCAGCTCTAGTAGTTTTCTGGTGGAATTGTTAGGGATTTTCATATATAGAGTCATATCATAAAGATACATTGCTTTCTTCTTTTCATATTTGTATCCTCTTTATATCTTCCTCAACTTGTCTTATTGTTATAGTTAAGTCTTCAAGCACTATATGATCAAGAGTGGGGAGAGTGAACACCCTTGTCTTGTTCCTGATTGTAGTGAAATGCTTTGACTTTTCCCCAGTTTAACATGATGTTGGCTGTGGGCTTGTTGTAAATTGCCCTTATTGCATTGATATATGTACCCAAGATCCCTATTTTCTCCATGACTTTAGTCATAAAGGAATATTGGGTTTTGTCAAGACTTTCTGCATTTAAGGAGATAATCATGTGGTTTCTGTCCTTGAAACTATTTATGTACTGGATTAATGACTGTAATGCTGAACTGTCCTTGAATCTCTGGGATATCAACTTCATCATAATGGATAATCTTTTGGATGTTTCTTGAATGTTGTTTCAAGTATTTCATTGAGATTTTTTGTGTCTATGTTTATCATGGAGATAGGCTTACAATTCACCTTTTTGTTGGATCTTTATCTACTTTTGGTATCAGGGTAATACTTGTTTTGTAGAGGGGATTTGGAAGTGTTTTCAGGTTGGAGAGGTTTGTGGAAAGATTTTAAGAACTGGAGGTAGTAGACTACTTCAGGGAAACAGTATTTCCAAGACATGATAGGGCTGCTGAACTCATGGACTCACAGTGTCTGTGACTGCATTCATAAGACCCATACCACATCAAGCCAACCCAAACTCTAGCATGGATGTGGGAGGGGCTCATGAAGCCCCATCCTTCTCTGGGGATCAATTAGCAAGTAATGGCTGGTTGGGAGAGAAAAGTCAGTTTTCATCAGAGATGAGGTCCCTGGGAGGCTGCCTTCCTCTAGTAGATTGTTCTATACCCACATACAGTAGGTGGAGTCAGAGAGTTTAAAAATAGCACATAAATTGACACAGAATAGAGGTGGTGAGATAGAGGGGAAATTAGAGAGGAGGAAGAAAGGGATGGGTTTGAACAAAACACATTAAATGCATGTAGGAAATTCTCAAATAATATGTAAACAGAACATAGTCGAACAGATGTCCCTATTGTATGAATGTGCTTCTTTTGGGTATATGCCTAAGAGTGGAATTGCTGGATCTTGTGGTAGACTAATTCCCATTTTCCTGAGGAATCTCCATACTGATTTCCAAAGTGGCTGGACAGCTTGGCACTCCCACCAGCAGTGGAGGAGTGTTCCCCTTTCTCCACATCCTCTCCAGCATAAACTGTCATAGCAAGAACCTGGAAGCAACCTAGATGTCCCTCAACTGAAGAGTGGATAGAGAAAATGTGGTACATTTACACAATGGAGTACTACTAAGAGGGAAAAAACAATAGAATCTTGAAATTTACAGGCAAATGGATGGCACTAGAAGAAACCATCCTGAGTGAGGTAACCCAGTTACAAAAAGACAAACATGGTATGTACTCACTCATAGATTTTAGACATGGAGCAGGAGATTGCCAGCCTACAATACCCCTGCCAGAGAGTCTGGGAAACAGGGAGGACCATAAGAGTGACATGCATGGTACCCCAGAGAAGGTACTGAGCAAATTGGGAGCATGGGGCGAGGGGAGAGCGAGCTGGGAGAAAGAGAAGGGGAGAAAAGAAGGGAAGAGGAGGACATGAGGGAGCAGGAAGATTGAGTTGGGGGAAGAATAGAGGAGAGGAAGATATTAAGATATCTTAGTAGAGGGAACCATTAAAGAGAAACTTGGTACTAGGGAGATTTCCAGAGATCTACAAGCCAATTGGCAATCTAAGCAATAGTGGAGAGGCTACCTTAAATGCCCTTCCCTGATAATGAGATTGATGACTACCTTATATGCCACCCTAGAGGCTTCATCCAGTGGCTGGTGGAAGCAGAGGCAGACATCCACAGCTAAACACCTAACTGAAATCCTGGAATCCAGTTGCAGAGAGGGAGGAGTGATGAACAAAGGGGTCAAGACCAGGCTGGTGAAACCCACAGAAACAGCTGACCTGAACAAGGGAGAGCTCAGGGACCCCTGAGAGGCCAGCATGGGACTAATCCAGACCCCCTGAATGTAGATGTTAGTGAGGAGGCCTCAGCAATCTATGGGGCCTCTTGTAGTAGATCAGTATTTATCTCTGGCACATGAATGGACTTTGGGATCCCATTCCACATGGAGGGATGCTATCTCAGTCTGGACACATGGGGGCACTTGAGGGAGGCCCAGCCTGGGATGATGACAGATTTTGGAGATCCCCCAAGGAGGGCCTCACCCTCCCTGGGGAGCGGAGGGAGGATAGGATTGGGGCTTGGGGGCACTGGTGGAGGGTGGGGGAGGAGGGGAGGGAGAGGGAGCTGAGATTGACATGCACAATATTAAATAAAAATATGTAAAAAGAGAATTTCTGAGTGTTATTGGGAGTGTAGCACATACAGTGTGGATGTGCTAGAGAGGGCGGAGTGGGAATGTAATATGGTAGTATACTTAAATGATGGGCAATTTAGAATTTATGAGTGATTTATGTCTGAAGGTTTTCATTTAATATTTTCAGACCACTGTTGACTGTGGGTAACTAAACCAAGTGTAGTTGTTGATTTTCTTCTCATGGTAACAAAATGCCTCACAGGAGGCAGCTTAAAAGGCAGGGCTTTTTTTGGCTAACAGTTTCAGGTGCACCACAGATGGCAAGACAAGAAAGCAAATGCTCCATGGTGGCAAGAGAGTGAATCTGGGACTCCTCACATTTTAGAGGAGCAGGAAGGAGAGAGGGAACAGGAAGTATAACTGGGCTATAAGACCCCAAGTTCCAGTCCTAATAAACCATTTCCTCTAGCAAGTCTTATCACTTATAGGATCTACAACCTTCCAAAACAGTACCACCTGCTGGAGACCAAGTATTCAAACACATAAGCCTATGGGGGACATTCTACATTCAAGACATTTTATCCCTGGTCCCTATAGTGTCATGGTTATCTCATACTGCAAAATACATGCATTCAAACTTTAAAAGTCCCCATAGTCCTCATCTGTCCCCACACTGTTCAAAAGTCCAAAGTCTCTTCTGAGGCTCAATACAACCCAACTGTAAACCTCTATAAAATAAGAACAAAATCAACTCACATACTTCTAATATACAAGGCACAGAACAAACATTCGAACCATAGAAGAGAATTGAAGGATAACAAGGAAAGATTGGTTTTAGCTGGGTGTTGGTGGCGCACGTCTTTAATCCCGGCACTCAGGAGGCAGAGGCAGGCAGATCTCTGTGAGTTTGAGGCCAGCCTGCTCTACAGAGTGAGTTCCAGGACAGCCTCCAAACCTCCAAAGCTACAGAGAAACCCTATCTCAGAAAAAAAGAAAGACTGTACCAAAGCAAGACTGAAACCCACCATGGCAAACACCAAGTCCTCAGCTCTGCATGAAGCATCTGAGGCTTGTGTTGGCATCATGTGGGCTCCAGCAGGCTTGGGTTTTCTGGCCTTTTCTTCAGTTCTGCTGCCTATGCCCAGGGAGCTTCTCTCTTGGGCTGGCTTCCCTCTGTTCCTCCAGGTTTCCTCAAATGTTCCAGGAATGAGGTCACTGGGGTAGGGTGTGTAGTAGGCACACATAAATACCCATGGTGTAATCCCAGGACTGGGCAAAGCACACATGCCCTGGTGTTCCATGGTTGTATTTTCTGGATGTGAGGTTTTTACTGTGACTGCACCATGTGTCCTGGTTGCTTCTGAAATATGAGGGGATCCACAGCATGTGGGCATGCATTCCAGGGTCATAGTCTGTGGCCTGCATGCTTGGAAACTGTAGTCAAACTAGTGCTCTTGTTGGGCTGTGAACTTCTAGAGGGCAGGGCTGCTCCTTTCATCTTCTAAATCTATGATTGCATTTCCAGTGTTGAGTGAGTCAACAGTCAGCACTAACTGTCCCCATTTAAATGGCAGAGCTTGTCTGGTACCTCCCTTGTAGATGTAGAGAGGCTTAGCCAAGGTGCTTTGCTAGCAAGTGTTTAGAATGGATGAAACCCAGGTGTGGAATGGACTGTCAATGAGGGGTTGATGTTTCTCATTTCTCCTTCTTCTCCTCCTCTTTCTCCACTTGTCCTGAGTGTTGTTCCCTCTGGCTGTCTTGCAGGTATGCATTGTGCAGAAGCGAGACACCAAGAAGATGTATGCCATGAAGTACATGAACAAGCAAAAGTGCGTGGAGAGGGATGAGGTGCGGAATGTGTTCCGGGAGCTACAGATCATGCAGGGATTGGAGCACCCATTCCTGGTGAACCTGTGGTGAGTGTGGAGGTGACTTGTCCCCTGAGGGGGCTGTTCAGGTGCTTCCATAAGGGAAAGGATCCAGATGTCTGTGTTTATAGCCTCTCAAATATTCTGTAGAGTACGTTCACCAATGAACCTTCAAGCATTCATTTTAATTCTGTTCTCTGACTGAGTGAATCAGAATCAAAAACAGATGTGTTTTTGTGGATTTGTGGAAGTAGGTAGCAGGTTTCATGAGAATGGTAAATGGTCTCCAGGATTTTAGAATGTCCCACACATTGTGTTAGTGGCACGAACGACCTGGAGCCCATGCTTCACTCCATATAGCATGGCTGCCCTGAATGGAGGGCTAAATTCCAACTCTTGAATCTGACACCCTGTCTATTTCTATTATAATCCATGTTTTTGGAAATTTCTCTCTATTCCATCCCTGACTATTATCTCCACTTTAAATATGCATCTTAGAAATGCCTACCTGTTAATGATTCCCTGCCTCTGGGCCTTTGTCTGTGGTATTTCCTTTTGCCTCAGTCAGGTACTTCAACGTCCCCCATTGTTCCTGAGGCTTCACTTGTGCATTCCAGGCAGGCAACTCCATGAATTTAATCTAATATTCTACTATTCCCACCTTACAGATGGGGCTACCGAGTCGTGTTCCTAGTAAGCAGACAGATGGGTGTTGAAGGCATGTAGTCTGCCTTTGTGGCCTCCACCTAACTCCTTGAGTAAACACTTCCTAGCTCTGCCAGACGTCCTTCCCAACTTCTCCTTGGCACACTCCTCCTGTCTTGTCACCCTGTATGGCTTTTTTCTTTTTATCCTCCTAGAAGTATGAGCAGTATGCAGATGGTTTTTGGTTCACAAAACCACCCTGCTTTGTATTAATTGCATGCCAGTTCCGGAGTTTATTTCATAGAGGCTGAATTACTGCAGCATGGAGAAGGCTTGCTCTCATCACTCTTCCCCACTGACAGGAGCTGTGATTGGCACTGGTGGAAGCCTAGCATTGATTAGTTTCCATGACAGCTTTGCCTCTGTGGAATGAATGATCTATGCTCCCGAGCTGTGATAACCCAAGCAGAGCTGTCAAGTGCAATATTTTTACCTGTTTAAAGTGAAGCTGTGCTACTCTCCTGGGGTTAAGACAATCCTGGCAAAGGAGAAAGAAGATTTGCAAGACAAAGAGTGGGTGTAGTGTAGTGTGTGTGAGGAGTGTTGGGTAGGGACAGGATGAGGGAAAGGACAAGGTGGCCCAATATTCTTCTCCAAACCTGACCTTACCAGTTCTGATTCCGGCCCTCTACATAATCACCAAGGAGGCAGCTGTGGACCAAAAGGGTCCCAAACCAGACCACAACTTTGATGAAGAGATGGAGGATCAAGAGACAGATGGATTATATCATAATCTGACAGAATTGTGTACTTCTAGGAGGAAGATAGTGAAAGCCACAAGAGGGGGAGGAGAGGAGATGGAGAGAGAGGGATTGTGGGGAAGGGGGTGAGAGAGGGAGGGTGAAGAAGAGAAAGAGAGGAGGAGAGGGAGGGGAGAAAGGAGAGAATATGTGAGCTGATGTTGTCCTCAAGCTAGAAGAAAAGCCATCACCCTCACCAGAATTGATCATGCTGGCTGGAAATCCCATTTTCCAGAGTTGGGAGCAGAAAGCAGTCCTGTGTACATCCCTTCTGGGGCAGCTTGTGCTGGGGAAGGCACAGGCTTTGACAGCAAGCCCACTTGCCTTTCTGTAAAGCTGAAGAGAAAAGATGGTGATGTCATGGTGTCGTTTATAGATTAAGTGAGTGATCAGAAACAAGTAACCTACTTAGTATTGGACAGGGGAACCTCTTCCATGAGTGGTTTCCATGGTTACCAGGGTCCTTCCAGCCTGCCTCTGGTTGAGCACCCCTCCATTGGGTTACTTCTCACCTCCCTGCATGGATTTATCTTCTCCCCTCTCCTTGAGCGTTGGACATGAGGACTTTGGAAGATGTACCTTGGGTTTGGGGTACCAGGTTGTTGGCTTAATTAAAGGTTGGTGGATAGGCAATTTATTCACATTTTGATAGTGTGCTTGAAATTCATTTCCATCAACCTCACTGGCTGTATTCACTAGATTCACTGTTAGGAGGCATTGTAGAACTGGGTAAGGGAGACAATGCAGCTGTGAGAGTGAGAACCTTGCAGGACAGGCCCTGAATGTAGTGTTAATACTTGTCATAGAAACAATGTTTCTAGAACTTTCTATGAGTAGACATAGGACAAATCAAGACCCAGATGCTCATATGCCACCCTGAAACTTTTTATTAAAACTAGATTATGGGAAGCATTTAGAGACAACTTCTCTGACTAGAGCAGGGAGATGAGAAGGAGGCTGAGGAGGGGACTGGAAGCCCCCAAGATCTGCCCTTTGTAGAAGACTGCCTCCATTTCCTTAGAAGTAATCCTAGGCAGTTCCCAAACCAGCATGTACACACCACAGCATAGTCAACCTTTGCCAGTCTATCTGACAGGGCAAATCTTACCAAAATGCCTATGACTTGTGGATGAAATATCACTCTTGATCCCGAAAGTCCACAGAACAATGTCCACCAAGGCTGGGCTCCGATACAGTGCCCAGTCTATCCCACCCTTCTGTCTTTGCTACCATCTTGGTACGTTTTACTGCAGTCATACTGAGTCTGTAACTTAAGTGGTTACTAAAACACTCTGTGCTCACCTCTTTGGGCACTTGTCCTCCTGTTCTGTTTCTGGAACTCCACTACTCAGGGTTTCCTGGGAATGCCTGCTTTTTCTCCTGAAAACATCCATGTAATAGACAACTGTTCACTAGACTCCTGGTGGAGGCCAGACACTGTCCTATTTCCTAAGTGTTCACAGACGGAATAGCTCTGCATTCTCCTTTAGCAGTGCTCTACTTGTGGAGGGGTTCAACCCTCCTCCTTCATCATGTTTCTTGCGTGTGGCACAGAGAAAGTTCAGTTGTTCAGTACCTATGAACTGGCTATGGATGCCAGGTGCTGTGGTGCATATAGTTCTAGTACCAAGAGCAATCGTCACCTCTGTCTTCCATAGCTGGCAGAGGACAGAAGTCAGACCCACACTGGCAGCATCACATTGCCCTTTCCTCCCCATACTCTCTCATCACTCTCCCTTGTATTTCTAGTATTACTAAAATAGTGAGCTTCCAAACACCCACGGTGCACTGGGGAACAAGAGGCACTCTGGTCAACCCCTGACACATAGGAGGACAATGCTGGTGGGATTTTTACAATTCTAACTGTGATGTCATTGGCTTCTATGTATCCAGGACACTCTCATCACCATGGTAAACTTTGGCATCAGAGGAAGCGGCTATGCTGTCTTGCCCAGGGTCCTTTCTCATCCTGGACTGTCCTAACATGTGCAGTGTCCTTGGTGTCTTTGGCTCAAGTTTTGAAGACTCCAGGTTTCCATTCTCCTTGCTATGGTCATGGGCCACTATTCTAATGGGGGGGGGGACGCTATGGTTGTGAGTCACATGACTCACCAGGTACACCTTGACACTCAGCTGTGTGAGAAGCCAGTGGCCACACTGTAAATCAGGACTCAGGAGGAATGCAGCTGGGCCAGGGGTGAATGGCTGTATATGTTAGGAAATAACCAAGAGACCCAAAAGCCTACTAAGGAACACTACAAGGGTCATGTGTACAAGCCAGGACTACCAGGATCCTCTGGCTATGTTGAGATGATACAGGATGGCACCTTCCTGAAGATTTCCCTGACTGCTTTCTGTGTTTTCCATGTGTTTTTCTTTAACTAAATCCCCTAGTTAATATTGCTTCATGAATGTAATTGTTACTTTCCACCTTGCAGTGGCCAAATACCACTAAAACAGCCAAAAGTGGAAGGGATTAATTTTGGCTCACAGTTTGAGGGATAACAGTTCATGGCAGGAAGGTTGGGGGTTGGGGCTTTCTCTGAGGCAGTGGACACTGGTGGAATCAGTAGGTCAGGAAGCAGCGAATTCCTGGAAGCAGGAAGGCCAGGCTACAGCCCCATACAACCCACTCTCTCTAGTCTCCCACTTGCTCCAGCTGGGGACCAATTTCCAAAGACCCCACAACTTCCTCCAACAGCACCACCAATTGAAGACCTGTGTTCAAGCACATGAGACAGTGGGACATTTCACACTGAAATCACAGAACCATGCTTTTCAACCATTGCAGTGATGGTGATTTATTGTAACTTACATTGTGAGGCTTTTTCTCTTTTATCTCAGTGAAGCCTCAGTACCATTTTATGAAATGGACAATCTGATCTCCAGCTTACAGTTGGAGAGGCCAATGCCCGGGGGTTAGAATATTCACAAGAGGTTACAAGCTCACCCAAGCACCCAAGGCAGCTGTGAGATGAGAAGCCAGAGTGCATTAGTAAAGTTTAACAACCAGCTCTCCCAGGGGCAGGGAAAGGGGACAAGCCCTGGTCCCTGGTGCCTTTCATCCTCTGAGAAGTAGATGCACCCATTGTTGATTTCAATCTAACAAGCTGGTGTCAGACAGCTTGCAAATTTCTGAAAATTTCACAGTTGATTTCCAGTGTGTCAATACAAGCTGGTTCCTGAATATCCTGATAGGCTCAAACCTTACTCCATAGCCTGGGATCTGTCTGTTGAGCTTCTGTAAGTGGGCTCATAGTTAGGCTTCTAAAATATCAAGATGAGAGAGGAGTGCACTTCAACACAAGAGAAAAAGAGTGCTGAGTAGGTACTGGACACAGTAGTGTGTAATCTGGGTCTTGGGCATGGTCAGCAGTACCTGTAAGTAGGGTCTCTCTCTACAGTAGTGAAAGCAGGAAGCAGTCTGTGGTCTTGATGGGTGTGTATCCTTTGAAAGGCCTCAACTTTCTCACCTGTAAAATGGGGAAAACAACCCCACCACTTCCGTGTTCTACAAGCTCAGGCCAATTGAGATCAAGGGGGTGACAGCCTTTTGGGAATTCTGAGGTGTCATGCCACGCACATTTTTGCACTTCCTTTTGA